GGGCGTGTGATACATGTCCGATCAATCTTGAAACCATGGCATATGTGTTCAATCAATTCTGAAGCCAGAACAATTGGCCTTGTATTCCTGGATTTTTGAATGGCTCAAAAGCAAATTCATATTATTGGTTCAATAACATGTTGGATATGTGAGCGCTGAACTAAAAACATGCTAGAACACGGATTTGTTTAATGTCATTTTATCTTTTTAACCATCTGCTTAATTGATTTAATCACGAGTTGAACCTATGAATACACAGACGTGCAGGTAATGGAAAAATGAATCTGAACCTCGAAAGAATGGCTTATTGAAAATTAATTGATGATGCCATGATCTAGAGATGTTTAATAGATAGTAACACACATCCCCTTATATATCTCGGATTGGCTTGTTCTACGGACACAACACAATATGTGTATGGCAACACAACAAATTCTGAAAAAAATGATACGATAACATATATAATATTAATATAGATATGCCTAAAAATTAATATATATATACATATATATTTATGGATAAATTTATGTGGTACTGTAATTGTTTTTCATGTTATATATATATATATTGTTACTGTCATTTATCTATAAAAATATATGATAAACAAGGTGAGGGTTGAGAGTTATAGTACATGGATAATTTTGGACTAAATTAGACATTCTATATATCTTAATACTTTTTTTTAGAACTTTTAAGTTTTCTTAACAATTATGAAATTAATATTATACATGGAAAAGTTACATTTTAGTGTTTAATACCTGTTAAATATGCATGCAAATATTTGAGATGGTATTGGATACGTGGCCGAAATATATGAGAATTATCACATACGTGCAGAAATAAAAAAATAAAAAAGAATTTAAATTATGGATGTGTTAACGAAGTATTGGACATGTATGTGTGAGTATATGTGGAGTGTTTGTGTTGGACACATTAGGGATCTGTCCTCAGAAATATCCATACTTCATAGCTTATTGTGAGTTGAGGTTATGCATTGAGAACCTAATCTTGTTGAGAGTTAAGATTATGCATTTGGAATCTAATAATAGAAGCTGCATTAATGTCATCATAATGATGTAAATCATGGACTGAAAGCTTTGGTACACTTAGAATCTTTGTTGGCTTTGATATGCTTGATATGAATTGTTAATATAATTTTAGACAGGATGTACATCTATGTATGTTCTTATGAAAAAAAATTGTGGTTTGGCAAGGTGATTGTCAACTTTGAGTCTAGGATTGCGGTGGTTTGAGTTTTGGATTGTTATCGAGTTGGTACTAATTATGGTATTGGTTCGGATGACAGCATTGGTATGTATCAGGAGTGACTCCAGGTAGCTCTTGTGCACACTTGTCAGGAGAAACTTCCTGGGAAGATCTTGGTTGGTAGTTACCAATAGTGAATTTGGGATGTACATACATATATGTATATGCTTATGAATTACGATTGTGGTTTGCGAACATGATTGTGAACTTTTGAAGCTAGGAATGTGATCTAGTTGATACTAAACATGGTATTGGTTGGGATGACAGAAATGTTATGTTTCAGTGAGTGACTACTAGGAAGATCTTGTGTACATTGGTCAAGACATACTTCATGTGAAGATCCTGAATGCTTGGTGCCAGGAATGACCTCGGGAAAATCTCATAGGAGTACCTCATGTGAAATCTCGTGAACTTGATGCCAGGTTTGACTCTAGAGGAAAATCTCATAGTTGGCAGGGAACAATTTGGTGGGTGACTTTATGGGGAAGATCTTGTGGCATGGTTGACCTCTCAGGGAATAGCTTGATATCAGTGACTCCGTCCGGGGATAGTCCCAAGTAAATAACTCTAAAAGGAGTTACCAAGAGTAGTTCTGCCAGCAGTTTTGTGACATTATGATCACAGCCATTGAAGTCGTTTGAAAACAAAAAAACATTTGATCTGAAAAAGTTTTTAATTTTCATTTTTGTTCTTGATTTCTAGAATCCAGCTTAAGGGAAGTATCCATGTTGCCTTATTTATTTTTATTTTTTTGATAAGTAAGAAATAAATAAAAAGGCGTTCAAAAGGGGGAACGCGTCCCTTATACAAAAGTGGAACCAGTGGCGAAGGCCCCAAAGAATCCAAAAAAATAATTAAATCATCGGAAGAGGAGCAAGAACTCCTCTTGACATAATTGAAAAGAGAGCGAATAATATAAAGTTTTAGCGTCGCCGTAGATGACTCATTCCCTCCGAACATTCTGTTATTTCTCTCCTTCTAGATGCACCACCAAACGCAATGTGGGACAATTCTCCAGTAATCGCGTACACCTCTTCTCACATGACATCTTCTCCAAGCATGAATCAAATCCTTAGAAGAACGTGGCATTACCCAACGCATGCCAAACAACCCAACAATAAGATTCCAACAGTCGTGCACCACGGGGCAGTGCATGAGGATATGATTAATTGACTCACCATCTTGCTTGCATAGGCAACACCAATTAAAAAAAAACAATTCCCCTTTTTCCTCAAATTATCAATCGTCAGTATCTTACCCCAAACAGCGGTCCATACAAAGAATGACACCCTAGTTGGAGCCATAGAACGCCAAATAGTCTTCTACGGAAAGTCGAGGCTATCAAAATTAGATAGACATAAGAACAAAGATCGGACTTCGAAACGACTATGGGAAAAGGGAATCCATGTCAGATCGTCACTACCTTTGCCAACTCCTTCCTGCCAATACAATTGATCCAGATGAACACATACTTCATCCAACTCCCAATCCTGAAAGAAACGCCAAAAGTGCACGTTCCACGTAATCCCACTACTATCAAGCCGATAACAGTCAGCTACGTAGGCGTGTCTATCAACTACAATACTGTATAGTCTGGGAAATGTACGAGAGAATGGCTGATCATCACACCAAAGATCTTCCCAGAAATGAACACATTTGCCGTCACGAACTTTGAATCTGATATGAGAAGAGAAGACGTCCCATCCCTTCCGAATGGATTTCCACACCCCGACTCCTCTCACAAGAGTAACCGGACGGGTAGACCAACTGCCAATCTCTTCCCCAAACCGACATGAGACTAGCCTAGGAGAGCTTGGTTAAAAGGAACCAGTCTTCTGATACCAAGACCACCCAACTTCATAGGCTTGCAAACTTGCTCCCATCTGACAAGGTGATACTTAAACTCTTCTCCCCTTCCGCCCCAAAGGAAATCCCTTTGAATTTTTTCAATCCTATTAGCAACGGAGCATGGAATTTGGAACATAGATAAAAAATATGTGGGAAGGCTTGATAAAGTGCTCTTTATAAGAGTAACTTTACCCCCATGTTGCCATACTGAGTGAGAGTTTCCACGCATGTTGAGTTTATAATAGGTGATCAAAGGGATAAGCCTAGGAATTTCATAAATAGCTTGCAGTGTTGAGGAGAAATTTTGACAAAGAGAAGTGCATTGAGGTGTTAAGTTCATGTGCTAAATTAGCTTTGCAGTGTCAACTCATCCACAAGGGATTTTAGTGTAAAGGCTTGGGGTCAGGTTGTGTTTGGGACCTGGAGCTTCTCGGTTTTTGATTTTGATGAAAAATGCCTTATTGTGTCCTCCTATCTTAGAATAGTGATTCCATGAGGTGGGGATAGTATGTCCCCTCATCATCATCAGAAGGGTCAAAGAACCCTGCTTTTGAATTTTGATATATGGACCTCGTGTCTAGCAAATAGACTCCTGAGCATGGTACAGTGAGCGCTTTATTTTCCCAAATTTCTTTTAGATAAGATTGATGCTGAGCTAGTGCATCCAAACTTGGCCTATGAGAAGGTGTTACGAGTTTCAGCATCTTTGACATGAAACGTTGTTGCAGCGGGAGGAGGTTTCAAGATATTCACTGGTGTTGATAAAATGTAGGTATGTGGGCCTTTTTTTTTTGGGTTTTGGAGGGGGCAGGGGGTGGTAAACATCTCGGTCTGCTTTGAAGATACTTAATAGAGGTATGACTGAGTTAGTGTGAAAGCCTCCAGCCAGTCTAAGGAGGGAGGGAGGTCACTGTCCTCCTTCCTTTATGTTGCGATTTGAGTAAGGACAGCTGGTGATAGATGGATCCTAACTAGGAGCAACTTGGCTAGATAGAGATGCCAGCAAGTCATAGAAAAATGTTTTCAGATGAGATGGCAAGCAGGGAGTGCAAGATGTGGGGGACACATGTTTCAAAGGACATGTAATATCTCTTACAACGAGTAAGGATGTTGATGTGGCTAATAATACACTTAAAACAATCCTCAGTTTCTTCTTTTTGATAAGTAAGACAACAATCCCCAGTTTTAGCTGTCAAGTCATGAGATCCCTAGGCTTTTATTGTGGTCCGTAGCGCAAATCACACGGTGATTGCTCACTGAGCTCATAAGACCTCCTTGCTCCGGATCCAAGCTGGATTAAGTGCATCAGGGAGGTTGTGCCAGTAGGTGGCTTAGAGAGTGCAAGGTGCACGAGATTAAGTTCACACATTCAGGAAAGAGCTAACTTCTCAAGAAACACATATTAAGAGGATGGTCTAGCCAAGACTGAGCTTTTGTATAGAACCTTTCCCACTTCTTCCACACACACAAAACCCCACCATCACGGCCACAGGTCGATGTCCAAGGTCATGGCATTATGTGCATTGATTCTGGATATGTTTCACAGCATGGTGTGTGTGTAAAAGTAGATAGGCCACGTGTGACATTTATATTGGCCACATCAAGAGATGAATGCATGTCTTGACCATTGAATGGAGGATGCAAGTTGTTGGAGAAATGCCACACAGCCTTTCTTATGAGATGTGGCAGGATAGGTCATTCCTACTTGGCCAAATGAAGTATGCCACATGTGCAGTAGATATTTAAACATGTAGTGAACTGGGTTCCGGTACCTACTTTATTTTTAAAAAAAATTGATTTCCTTTAGGTTTGTGTTTTGTGAACCTCTCTACTATATTTGGTTTTATTTACTTATATTTTCTCCTTATAGTTCAACTTTCATGCAGATATGTCTTGAATGTGCTGTATGTGGCATCAATGGTGATCTGCTACATTGTGATAGCTGCTTTCGGCCATGTCATCTTCAATGTCTTAATTCCTCCTTCAAGGTATCTTAAATTTTTCACAAAGGCAAGAGCATACTTCTTTATCATGTTTAGTTAATTTTTTATGAATGTTACATTGATATTGCATATCTCTATCTCCTGTTGAAGCGCATTCGTTGCGGGAAAAGACTATGCGCTGGTTGTATCAAACAGCAAGATTCTTCAATTTCTCCGCAAGTCAGAAAATCGAACAGACTGAAGGAAAAGAATCAAATTGAAGATTCTGATCTGAGGAAAACATCACCTGATTCTCAATCATTTTTGATGGAGAGTCCTGGTGAAGGTATCTGCCATAAGGACTCAGCTGGGCCATTTTCTGAAGATTTATCGTCTAAGGGGAAACCAAGTCACATCCAGGTAGGCTCATGTTCATTTGTGGGCTCTGGCTCTGCATACAATGGCGGGAATACAGTACCTCAATCAGTGGAGATGAATACTGAAAGGACATTGGAACTTGTCAACTTAAATTCCTCTTTTGAAATAAAATGCAGCTCTGAATCTACTGGTGCATCTATCTTGAAAAACTTTAATTCAGAAGAAACTGATTTACTCATTAAAGACAAGTCCAGTACCTCATGTGCTAATGCACTCACAGAAACCAAGTTGACCACCCCACTAATTACTTTCAGTCGAAGATCCAAGGGGAAAAAGGTTATAGATGCAACTAAGACACAGACCAAGTCACCGCTTGGGGAGAAAAATTGCTCATTGGCTACCAAAGATTGTAACACCGTGCATGCTATTACCTGTTCATGTGAAACAGAATGTTGCAAAGGCTGTTCAGTAGATCTATCAACAAACTTGAAGCAATCAGGGAAGGATCCTTGCATGGGGATTTTGTTTGCTCAAGGTCAAAAAAGAGTATGTTATCTTATATTCTTTCAAATGGCTTCTTGACGTGTTACTTGAATTATTTTATTATCTTCTTGACTTGACAATAAGGAAGGCAATAAGCAAATTAAGGTCCTGTTTGGCATCATCTGGGGACTGTGTTCTGTTTTCAGAAATGGAGAAATATGAATCGGACATGAATTATCCCTGGGATGTTTGTGAGAGAAAAAAAATCCTAGAAAAGGTTATTTTTTAAAAAAAAAAAACTGCAAAAAAAGAAAAAGTGGATTGATCAAAAAATGACCTTGTTTTCAAAACTTCATATATATATATATATATATATTAATAATTTCTTTCCATCTTCAGAATGAAATATGAAAACAGAAACTTTCTATCCGTCTTCAGAATGGAATATGAAAACGGAAACTAGTTTCTGCAAATTGGACCTCAGTTTTTGGTCATTTTAAACTAGATTTATTTGTGACACTTTATGAAGTTACTACTGATTTTTTTTTTTGTAGCATTCGTATCAGAGAGTACTTGTTTAGGTATTGATTTGGAATTAAGTTTTGTTAATTTAAGTGGGTTATGTGGAAATTAAAGGGGAAGAAAAGAATGAATAGAAGGCTTGTGAGGCTCTTTTCTCAGTGTTCAAGTGCGTGCCAACTTGCATGAAAGTGGAAAGGGGACAATGGGATATATGTCACTTTTTGGAAGTGACCCTTGTTTTGCCTTTCCATATAGCATAAGGCCTCACTTGTGGCCTTTGGCTATAAATAACCCATCTAGTTAGTTCTCTCATCTGTGAAAAAAATCCAGTGGATGGCATGGCGTGTGCAATCATTGGTTCATAAGAGTAAGCACAAAACTAATCAAAGATACTGAGAAAAAGAATATCTTGATAAGAAGAATTTTGATGAATTCATTCCAAAACATCAAAAGATAACTGGAAATAGAGACAAAAATCATTATGATTTGCTTGTTCCTGAAAATATTTTGTCATCTAGATGATACACGTGTCTTGGGCCAATTTTTGAGGTGAGATCCCCTTGACATCATTCATAGCCAGCACTTCTCTCTTAGCCAACCACGACTTCCTTGAAATTCCTTGGTTAACGTATAATGACCAGCTGAGAGCAAGTTGGCTACCATGTTTTGGTCTTACGGGAAAGATGATCAGTAACAGTTCAGTAAGGAGTGCTTTGGTTCAAGTTAAAGGCACTATAGAACTTCAAAATAATTCTTATGCCTCAGGGTAAGCACAAACTGTAGAAACACCTTTCATAGCTGATATTTAGTAGTTGGGATGGGTGCCAGTTGATCTTTATTGTTCATGAAGGTTTCGATAAGTATGGCTACATAACATGTGTTTTTTCATGAGTCAACAGGTGTTTATTAACTCTTTGATATGATTTAGATCTTTGATAGACATTCAGACGTGTAGATTGCTTGCTAAAATGGGATTTGCCATCCCCAATTGATGGCAAATTCCCAAGTGATGTCATTGCCTGCTTGTCTAAATTCTCAAGCAACCCCCGTCTCCCCCTCCCCTCTCTCTCAAACCTCTATTTATGCTATTATGTATTTTTTTAAAAAAATCTGATTTGTGATTATATATTTATGGTTATTAAAGGGAGTTTCCAAGAAAAATGACTATTGTAAGTTCGTAACCATTGTTAAAACTTATTAGTACACTATTTATATCATTTATAAATGTGCTCTTAATTTTTTTTTTTTTTGTTAACATTACTTTTTTTTTTTTTTAATTTAATTTTTTTTTTTATATATTACTAGTTTGGCCCCAAAATTTTTAATTTATGGCTCCGCCCCCTGTTTCCTGGGTCAACCTGGCATGCATTTAGTTGGACAATGATTCAACATAATGAACATGTTAGCAATGATTTTAGTTGGACAATGGTGATATTGGTTCACAAAATCTGATGCTACGATCAATCTAACAACCAGGGTTGTCTTATAGTTGTGTGTTTGTGATTAGCCATTGATGTTATTCACAAAAGGTTACATTATGAGGTGACAGTGAGTTGATGAATCTGTGTAATTGACAAGTTAAGACCACTAGGATAAACATTTTTTGTTGCATTCTTTTTGAATAATTGATTCTGTTGAAGAGGTGACATATGCTACAAGATGTTGCATCCTTTTGTGAGTGACGGTTAATCAATCAGTCATTGATTTATGACAGATAACCAGCAAAGATGTTGAATCCTCGTGCACTTTTGCAGGATTTGATCCTCAGACTGAGACGTATGTTACACATTAACTCAGGCATTTAACAACCTTTAAAGTGAATCTGTATATAACTATATACTTACTTTCCTTTAGTCATTTTGAACAGTTTGAGACACGAGGGAGAACAGCCATGTAGCAGGGGTTACATATTAAAGGACAGCTCACCTGTTGCTGGAGAAGTACTGGATCAGAGTTCTGAACTAAATCTTTCTTCTTCGCATCCCAATATTGCCATGGAGGTCCAACAACATCATCAAATAAATTGTTCAGGAGCTTCATCAAGTGATGTAATTAAGCACTCCTTTAGCGAGACTATTACTGAAAATAAACAATCAGTATTATCCATGCATCATGCTTCCTCTGGAGAGCAACCACAAATTTTGTCGAGTGAAGGTTTGCAGTCAACAAGAATGCAGGATACGATCAAGAGAGATGGAGGCTCCCTAGCATGTTTGGATCCATCTGTTCGTCCACCTGGTACTGGTTTTACTTAAGCATTCCAACCATGATATGCACATGGGTTGAGCTTATATGTCCATTTATTGACATGTGTTGCTACTTTTAGTTTGCTGGTTCAGTTTCATGCTACCGTACTTGTAATGCATTTCCCTTTATTTATATGTATAATATGCTGTATCAGCAGCCCTTCCCGAATCCTTGGACTCCACAAGCAGAAGTCATACTACTGTTTTACCTCAGTTATCTCCTCAAGGGAAGGTTCTGCAATTGTTAGATAAGAGAATTGGGGAAACTCTCTCCACCAACCATTCCGAGATGCATAATAATGCTTGCACTTCCGAAAACAAAGTTGGCGCCAACTGCAAAGATTTTGTAAACAATTCTACAGTATTCATGGGTGTCACGTCAAATAACAATTACATGCAGGTAGGTGGTATAAAAAGTACCTAATTTACTAGTTTGCTGATTATACTACTTTCTTGTTAGACAGTGGTGTTAATATTCTTGTTTTCGTGGGAACTCTGTTATTTGCCTTTCCTTTTATATGGTCAAAATTTAGGTTTTCCATTTTCTGTTGAATGGAGTATAACATATTATTTTGAGTTGGTTTCAGCTATTTACAGAAGACAAAACCCATGATATGTTTCCTTTAACCTATACACAGCAAGAAGTCACTCCACCATGCTTGGATTTTGAAGAAAGAACAAGGTCTGCACTATTTCTTGGCTCATCTCTGCCAATGGAGCCTAAGATTGATGCTCATGTCTCAAACCCAACGACATTGCCATGGCCCAGTTTTGGCATCAGATCTAGAGAATTTTTTCAAGATGCAGTATTCCAGTCTCCATCGGACCAGACATCAACCCTTCTAAGACACAAGATGGTGCTTGACAACATTTTAGCTAGAGAAAGAGCAGTAAAAGGAAACAGAATTTTCTTGGAAAAATTCGAGGCGTCAACTATGTGGTCAGAAGAGGAGTTGGATTTTCTTTGGATAGGTGTGAGGAGACATGGAAGGGGAAATTGGGATACCATGTTAAGGGATCCACGGTTTCACTTCTCACCATGGAGGACGCCAAGAGAACTGGCAGAGCGGTGGGAGGAGGAACATTCTAAACTTTTGAATGGCACACTGAATTCCCAGTTCAAGCATTTGAGATCGCCTGATGTTTTTTCAGAACACAACAGTTGCTTCATGCATTCCAGAACTGGAATCCAGAGAGATCTGGTGGCTGAAACGGCACTCTCACTTGGAAATCTACATGCGCAACCAAACTGGTCACCATTCTACTTGACCAATGTTCAGAAAAACAGGAATATACAGCTTCAGAATCTGGCAACAAACCTGAGGACCTCTCTTTCGAATTGTAACGAAGTGAATTACGGCAGGGTTATGTACAACCAATTGGATGGCAAAGTAACACAGGTTTTTGAATCTTCATTGATTAGTGGCCCTACGACAAGTTTGGCTGCAAAGTCTAAATTGCCACATTGGCTCAAAGCAGCAGTAAGCGTCCCTCCTCCTCCAAGTCCCTCGGAGCCAGCTTTGGCTTCAGTTGCTTCATCCATCTCAAAAGAACCACATCATGGGTGGAGGAACAGAATCAACAGTAGCTATAACAGTGGCTCAAGGGCAACTGACCAACAGCCATCTGATACCGCCCATTGCACGAAATTTCCGTCGAGAGCAGGAATCCAGACGGCTCAACAAAATGGGCCTCATCAGTATCGTGCGAAGAAACCAAATGACTTGATCGTCATCAACAGCGATGCGTCGTCTGAGGAGACCATATCTGATGATCTTAGTGTCAGGCCATAGCTGGAAGGTGATTTTGCACTCAATCCATGGGTAAGATGTAGAGAGGTAGCTATGGTATCTTCTGTACAGCCCTTTTTTTTTTCCCTGAATTTTGTAGTTGCGAATGTAAGATGATTTTAAACTACTTGTTTTAATGTTTTTTTCTTTTTCTTTGTTGTATGAGATGGGTGAACCAAGCAGGCTCATTGAAAAATCCGAAAATTTGAAGAATAATTCCGGTATTGTTTGTTGTTGTCTTGTTTCTAAATTCAACTTTCTTTAAATATAAGCCGAAATTTATCAACCCGTAATTTACGCTTCTGTTAGGAAATAATCTTAAATAACATATAAGGGAGGTAGAAGTTGGAAGAATAAATATTTAAAAAAATCTTTAGAAGAGTCCTCCAGTCTTAAATATTTCTAAAAAAAAACATATTTTTTCATAAAATAATTTCTATATTATGAATAACTTTTTTCTAATACACGAGCGTGTGTATGCTTAGTTTTTTCAATCTAGCCTCTTAGATTACAGAGAGTGCATGGGTTATACAGAGACATCAGTAAAGTGCATGAACCCCCTGAATTATAAGGTAATTGTACAAAACCCTCCTGAATTTAAGAAAGGTCTGAACTATTAAAATAATGCATTTAGAGACAGTGAGTTTCCGTCATCGAAAAAATAAGAATACAAAATTATCCATTGGCGATGCTTTTTGCTAAGGTTGTCAAACAACATCTCATAAACAAATAGAAATTCGCCAGCACTATCATCTTATCACTCCACCACCACCACACCTCATTTTAGTGAGAAACACCTGTCCCACTCGTTTTAGTACCAAAAATTGGTTTGTTCATTAGACGCGCAGGAGAGCGCCCGCACAGAATTAGTGATTGAAATTGAATTGATAAATAAGACTCATTTTGTGGTGACCTAGTTATGTTTGTATTAATATGTAAATGGTGTTTATGCCTCACTGCTTGGTGATCATGTAGGTGCAAATAAGTCGTTTAACTAAAAAGTTAAAAGAATAAATACAACTCACTCAAATAAAGAATAATTACTAACAAAAACAATTCAGGGAAAAACTTATAATACTCGATGTCCTTTTATTGGAGGTCTTAATCTCTATTTATATACAAAAAGATGGTATAATTAGGTAGGATTCGCTATTCTTGTCTTCCATTTCATTCCATATATAACTCTTTATTTACAGGGTTCTTTTCTTCTCCAACTCTTTCCATGCAATACTTTTCCTATGCAAAGCTTCTTTTCATATAGGATACTTTACTATGCAGGACTTTTCCTACAAAGAATTTCCTTATACAAAGGATCCTTTGTTGAGGAGGACTTGATTAATTTGAATTGGACTAGGTAAATGGGCCGGATGGGTTTTATAGCAAGCCGAGAGGTTAAAATTAATAACCTTGGATCGAAATTGACTTTATTTGGGCTTAATCAATATTGGGCTATTGGAGAACCAATGTGGTAATACCTTATTTTAATGAGGTACATGATTTTTATTGGAGGGAAAATTTTCTCTCCACAGACGGATAATGAGATGTGGGGTCGAATGAGACAGCCTGCGACGTTGCATGCAGCTGCCTCGTTCCTAGGGCAACTTCATCTGTGGCTACGGCGGCCGGTGAGAGAATTTCCGACCCTTCCGACCGGGCGAAGCTAAGGGGAGCAGGGACAACATTAGTGGTGTTGTGATCAATCTAAAGGACCTGTCTGTAGAGATCCCGCAAGTTTACTGTCTTACATCTCACGACTTTTTCCCTTGAGATTTGTTGTGTTTTTGTTCCATGTTTTATAGTAGGAGAAAAGAAAGTCTAGCAACTAGTCAACTTCTCAATTTTCATGTAATATATTTTGGTTGGCCAAGAAAGAACTCTAACAATGAAAGCGGAGAAAGAAAAATGGAGGAAGTATTTTCACTACTCAATTTATCTAGAATAAGTACTTGTCAAAATTACAAGAGTATTTTTAGTTTAATCAACCCCTTCTACTTTAATCCAATCAAACGAAGCAGCATTTTTTTTTTGTTGAAATCCTCTCGAAATGTGAACTACTCAGCCTAGAACTTCAAGAATTGCATTAGGCAAAGGAGACATAACTTGAGATCGAATTATTTTATTTTATTTTTTTTACAATGGAAAAGAAGTTTTTTCACGTACAGATCTCAAACATAGCTCAAACACCAACGAGTCAGTGGCCGAGCCAGTGACCTAACGGTATCAGACTCTTACTTCTCAAAGGGAGATCAAGGGTTCAAGCCTCCACGGAGGTATGCGTGTGAGTACCAATTATGAAAACCAAAAAAATATATATATATATATAGCTCATACATTCTTTATTTCATTTATTTACTATTCTTCGGCCTGAGCTCGATTCCTTGAAGAATGAGGCCACTTTTCCAGTTACCGCCTTTCACTTCTTGCAAACATATTTCTAGTTCCCCATCTTCTCCGCTCTTGTTAAGATGCTCACCCAATTCCATCTCGAACCACCCATCTCCTCTCTCCTTGGGACATTGATCATTGCTTTGTCTCAGCATGGCAGCTAGTGGTCTCACCATGTTAGCAGGTCTGCGGTTAAAAAACCCCATTCGCCTTGGTACAATCTGGGTTCGAGGCCACTGCCATCCATCAGGATCTAGATATAAACTCCGTGATTCTCCCTCACTCCCACTGATTCTTACCCAACCCTCGGCTGATCGGTGTCCAAATCCATATACTGTTGTCGCCCACTTGAACACGAGGTAAGCTGCATAGGTTGTGGCTGGGGATAGCATCTGAGTATGTATCTTCCCACGAATTTCAAGCCAACACACATCGACAAGCTCTGCCACCTCTGTGAATCTGATTTTGTGGATAAATTATAAACTCCATATATTTAGATGGAGAAAAGAAAAGAAGAAAAGAACAACATGGCGTGAGAGAGAGACCTGGACTCTGGTAGAGAAGTCCATTTCCAATAACGCGGTGTATCACCCCAAACAATTGTGAGGTATCTTGCAGCTAACATGAAGCATTTCTTCCCACTCCACTTCTCCAACGAAAAACTCTGGTTAACGCCGCCAATGAGAAGTTAGAAATTATCTTAAAATGATTACTGAAGCAAACAACGTGCATAAAGTAGATTACAACCACCAAAAATGGAAATTCAGTTCAATGCTTACAGTGACCATAATTTAAATAGTAGTAGACAGAGTAAAAGACTAGAAAGAACCAAAGCTCCAAAACGAAACCAATGACTCCACCCTGTGAATCTTATGATTCAACTCAAATGTGTAACATAAAGCTGACAAGAATTACATGCTATGAATACCATGAATACCACGAGTGCGATTACCAAGGTCCAACAAAGATGGCATTTCACACACAACTTTTTTACTTATCCTTCAAACGCTGGTACGCAAAGCCTTGACAGAATATGCCAATGGCCAGTATTGAGCTTCACACACAACTTTTTTATTTGAAATGCTTAGTCAGTTCCCATTTGAACCAAATTGGATCACACTTGCAGATAATTTGATCACGGTATTGTTGCGAACTTATGGTTTGACATTCAAGACTTCTGGTGTCCAGTGGCGGAGCCAGAAAATTTCCCCACTGGGGACTAGAAAATTTTGAAAAATGATAAGATAATAAAAACATTTGATTCGAAATAATAGATAAAAGAAAACCCAAATATTGATAGACAATATTTCTATTATTAAATTCATAAAGGAATGCTTTACCTAAGGCTTTCCACAGTTTGCTACCTTTCCTATGTTTGCCGTACAATGAGTTGTGGGGTTTCTTGAAAAAGATATATTGTGAATTGATAGAAAATATTTTTATTGTACACAAGTCCAAATATTTCCAGAAATCGTTGCACTGAGTGCCTCATTATCAATACCATTATATATACAATATTTTAACAAAATCCTACTTTTATTTTTCTTTTTCTCTAGAAGATATTTAAATTTTGCATAAGCAAAAAGAATGAGTGAAAGAAGGATTAGAATTTCCTGTGTATCCAAGGTCAAGAAATTGAATATAAACAAGAAGAATGAGTGAAAGAAGGATTAGAATTTCCTGTGTATCCAAGGTCAAGAAATTGAATATAAACAACAAGAATGAGTGAAAGAAGGATTAGAATTTCATGTGTATCCAAGGTCAAGAAATTGAATATAAACAAGAAGAATGAGTGAAAGAAGGATTAGAATTTCATGTGTATCCAAGGTCAAGAAATTGACTATAAACAATGTTTAGCTTTCCAGTCAAAAGGTGAATTTCTAGAAAGATACTTTTTAACAATAAGGCAGCCATGTTGGTAATGACACTAATTCCATTTTTGACCTTCCAATCCCATTGTTTCAAGTCAATTTCTATGCACAGTATACGGAACGTGCACAGTTCAATATTATGATCAATATTCTATTGCTTGGTATAATGGTAAAAGCTCGACTCACAAGTATGAGATTGCGGGTTCTTAGCCTGAATGCAAGGGGGTGGTTTGACCAAATGGAGGATATGAACTTGCTATGGAATGTGGACAGAAACAAAATCCTACCTTTATTTTTTCTCTAAAAGAAATTTAAATTTTGCATAAGCAACAAGAATGAGTGAAAGAAGGATTAAAATTTCCTGTGTATAGGTCAAGAAATTGACCATAAACAATGTTTAACTTTCCAGTCAAAAGCTGAATTTCTAGAAAGATATACTTTTTAACACATAAGGCAGCCATGTTGATTATTACACTAATTCCATTTTTGACCTTCCAATCCCACTCTTTCAAGTCAATTTCTATGCACAGTATATGGAACGTGCACAGTTCAATATTATGATTAATATTCTATTGCTTGGTATAATGGTAAAACCTCGACTCACAAGTGTGAGATTGCGGGTTCTTAGCCTAAATGCAAGACTGTGGTTTGACCAAACGGAGGAAATGAACTTGCTATGGAATGTGGAGAGAAACTTAGAGACACTTTGTGAAACAACTTAAAATCATTGAAACTTTTGAGGGTTTCTTTATAATTGAAGATTTTGAGAGGGGGCACCATTGGGCCCTTCCTAGCTCCCCAAAGCCAGTGCCTACAATTATTTGGATGTCTTGTCTCCCCAATTGAAAGATGAAAATGTTTAGCCTTCCAGTCAAAAGGTGAATTTCTAGAAAGATATACTTTTTAACACATTGGCAGCCATGTTGATTAGGACACTAATTCCATTTTTGACCTTCCAACCTCATGTCAATTTTTCTGAACATTTTCAATATTATGATTAAATTCTATTGCTTGGTATAATAGTAAAAGCTTGATTAATAAGAGTGATAATGTGGGTTCTTAGCCTAAATGCGAGGGTGCAGTTTCTGAATCTAGAGCAATCATTTTTATGTAAAATTATGTCAAAAGTTGGATCTTTTTTTCTTTTTTTTTTTTTTTTTTTTTTTTTTTGTAATCTTCCTTAACTGACACCCCACATCACCTGGTAACGACCTCTAATTTTTCCTATGAGCATAAAGTTTCTATGCACATTCTTAAGTTAACTTGTCAATTTATGATTATTATGAGATTCTATTGTTTGGTACAATGGTACACGCTCGTACACTCGTGTTGAAGACTTCGACAATATGGTTTCCTAGTCTGAAGGTAAGGGTGTTGGTTCTAAATCTAGAATAGCCAATTTGTGTAAAGTTAAGACGGTGTATAATTTTCCTCTACCGCCTTCCGTTCAAGATTACAAACAAAATTTCTATTGCACATCCTTTAACAAATTCTACGCACAGTTAATTAATTCCCCTGCATATATGTATTCTTCACTACACGAACTAGTCATCAATTCAAACTTTTTTTTCTCCCAAAAAAAAATAAGAAAAAAAAAAGCACATTCCTGCGAACCCACAAAACTAATTGTCTGAACCATAATTGCATTTGATATTTTGAAATTTTAAACGGGAATTTGGCCTGATCACAATCATGCATCTCTAATCCCATTTCAAAATTTATATACAATTTAAACCCTAACCCATTAAAATTTTGAATATATCAAACCCTAAACCCATTAAAATTTTAAATATGTTTTCCACAGAAACAGCAAATTACACCTCGTCTAATCACAATCATATATACAATATATGAAATTTGAAATTTTACCTTAGTCCCACCATCGATGATGAGGGGATGATTGGAGAGGCGGAGATAAAGCTCTTTCTTGGATGCGAAAACCGGCCGAGAAGAATCGGACGCTCGGCCTATCAGGTCCTGATAATCTGACGGCAGAAATGTCTCCCAAACTGAGTCAGAGTCCGCAGCCGACCGGAAAGTGGATGCTACCAAAGAAAGCCGGCAAGTTTCTGGAGGATTCGTGAGCGACAACACGTTTGCTATGCAATTCTCCGGCAATCCGTTGATATCGGTCACCGGACATGGATTTCTGCTGGTCTCTGTTGCCATCTTTTCTCTCCCCACAATCTGATATGCATGCATCTACATGTATAGAGTCTATAGGATACAAAAGTATATATTCTTCTCCAGAACTAATAAAAAAATGCTGTGGTGGGTAAGGACAAGTTTGAAAAGGAATTTAACAAATAATTGAAGTTATAAACTATAACGGAAGAGTCTTAGGATGATGTAATGTAACAGCTAATTACAGTACTAAGTTGACTGTCTTTGCACTGCTTTCGAGTTGATTGAATGGAAATGGCAAGCTCCCCACGTTTAGTGTAATTCATTGAGCCTCGGTGAAAATCGATTAGAGTTGCCTTGGTAGAGTGATTAAAAGACTAAAATATCCTTATGTATTTGAAAAAGAAAAAGGTGAAAAACAAAATAAATATAAAATGATCAAAGTAACCTAGCCAAAATAGAGGGAAATGGTGTTTATTTGTAAAATGGTATAAGGGCATTTTGGAGAGACCAAAAGGGTAATTTAGAAAATTTGTTACTTAATATAGGCATGTACATGACTACTTAAATGTGATTTTCTCACATATTATATTAATTAAGTCATTATTTGTCCATTTTTTAAAACTCAAGTGACTTTTATACCCAAAATAAAAGTTAGGGGGTGTTGTTTGCCCAAATTTTAAACATTAGGGTATTTTTCTCACTTTACCCAAATAAAAATAAATCAAATACCCGTTTGTCGAATAAGTATCTCTTTGTAATTTATTTTTTTAAAGATAAATTACACGAACTGTTTATTTCCACCATCCTTTTATCAGATAAAATAAGAAGTCATGCTTTTTAATATAGCATTTCAATTGCACCCCTTCCCCCATATCTTCTTCTTCTTTTTTTTTTTTTCAAAATGTTTATATCAATTGCACCATGTTATTTAACTCTCGACTAGTTTGCGTGAACCAAATGATAAGATTCGAGGGTGTGCTTACGTATGGGTAAAGCGTTAGGAACCTATTTATGAGATCCAAATCTAAGATGAAGATTTAGCATAACCGAACTTGAGATCTACACGAGTTGCCTACACATCTCAAGCATATATGTTTTGATGAGAATCAGGTTGATCGTACTTCTATCTAGTTTGAGATTGAAACACGAAATCATGGTTCGGGAATGATTAGATTTGAGGATTTGATATGGATGAGACTGAATGAAGTAACTGAACTTAGGCCTGCCTAAGTTGACTACATATTCCAGATATGTGGAACATGTCGGAATCAAGTCAAACGTAGTTCGATATGATTGAAAAGAATGTCAAGGTTCTGTGAATGGCATGATTGTAAGAGAATGTCAATGGTCCTGTGGTTGGGGCGAGTTTGAGTAATGTTTGTGGTCCTGTGATCGGGATGAATTTGGATAGTACTTATGGTCATATGGATGGGAGAGTGAAGGTATGGAAATGACCTTGCTTAAGGTGCCTTTTTACAGATGACATTGTAAATTTTAATTATTCGTGCAAATCATTAATTACAAATAAACATGAATTCCAAGATCTTAGAACTTCATTATCTTCACATTGCTATAATGCATAAATATAGTTAAATATAAATACCTCGATTTGTGATAGCAAACCTTGTTGAGATCAACTTTAACGTCGAAATCCTTTAATAACGAACTAACTTACAACTCCAAACAATAAATAAAGCGTGAAAACTGATTTATCTCTCTTGGCCTTTTACACATACAAAACTTTATACGTGTTGTTTTATTAGCGTACATAACTGATGTGAATATGCATTTTTATAAAGGCAGAGAGCTAGAGGATTAGTTTTCCTTTCATGTAAACTTTAATATCCAATTTCCATCAAAGTAAGGAATAAATAGGAATACACTTCTCTAATAATTATTTACCAAAATAGTAATTTATAAGTTAACCAAATAATATAATATTAACATGATATCTATTTAGTTGACCACTAATTAATGAAATATATCACATATCCAAATCATGTGGGCCACACAATTAATAAATAATCTTACAGTCTCCCATTTGACCCATATGATAACTTCTGTACTGATTTAGTAAAATAATCATTAGTGTGCACCATAAATCAGATTGACTCATTAAGTTAGTCATCATAAATACCATGGCAAATAAACTACCAATGCGAGTCATTACGGTTATTTATCACTAAATGACACAGTCATTTCCATGTACCACAACACTAGTAACCTATTCAACATAGTCTATAAATGAGAAGTATCAATAATGATCTAACAATAATGTCTTTTCCAAGACTATTCCTATTACCACTTTTTAAAGCAATACATACATGTACATTAATTAATAGAAAATATCAGAAACACATTTAATGAGAGCAAAATATCAAATATATATAAACACCGTTAAACAATCCACAATTAAAAAATAATCATCATTAACTATATTCAAGACACATTCTTTCAATATATTCCATAAATGTCTTGGGTGGTAGTCTATTCATTAATGGATTGCAATCATAAGTTACGTGCTTTAATGATAAAGTATTTCAACTTTAGAATACTTATTATTTTTCATACAAGAAGATAAACAATTGATTGCAAAACCTCAAAACAGTAGCAAAAAATCCCAAAATATTAAATAGCAGCGATGGAGCATGCTCTCAAATTAGGGGGCAAGCTTTGTCCTTATGAGAGCAAGCTCTGTCCTCGTGGGAGCAAGCTCTGACCTTGTGAGAGCAAGCTCTATCCTTGTGAGAACAAGCTCTGTCCTCGTGGGAGCAAGCTCTCGTCATGAGGGAGCAGGCTCTCAACTTCATGGAGCCGGCTCTTTCCCTCCGAGAGTTATCAAAATAATTCTCTTTTGGGAGCCGGCTCTCACCCCTTGGGAGCCGGCTCTTACCCTGATCTGTATCATCTTCCTCGTCTCCGATTAGTTCCAATCCCTCTATTCTCCATTGTTGATGGTTCTAAGAGTTTGAACTATGTCCCGAATCATTCCAGTAATTTTTATAAATCAATTATGCATCATTAACATCAATTAAAACAAATACTCATGACGTAAATTGCAAGGTCAATTAATTACAAGTAAATTCATCTAACATTGTTTTAAACCATAATTAGCATGCATAATTGTAATACCCCTAATTTTAAAAAGGATATTCCTGGTATTTATTATTATTACTTTTCGTTTTGGTTGTTTTATTTGTTTATATTTGCATTAATTGTTGACGTGTATATGTGTTAATTTAATTGTTTTCATTGTGGTGATTTAATTGAATTTAATTATTTACTTGCTTTAATTTAATTGATCTAATTATAGTTAATTATTTAAGTGGTTTGATTTAGTTGTTTTAATTGAATTAAGTTAATTAAATTTAATTGGTTTTAACGTGACTGAATGGTGGCATACATATAGTTATATTAGGGTTACAGTTTATAGCCGACATAGATTTTAAATGTAGGTTGTTATATGGGCTGACTAGGGTTAAGATTATGGCTCTGTCTCTAATCATACTGGGAATAGGTTTGTATTCACATCTCTATATATATAGAACATTATGTTGGTTTAGGGTTACAAACAAAACCCTATTCACTACGGTGAAACAGAAAGAACTTTGAGAGATTCCCAGAGAGGTTTAAGGACAACTGGACGGAGTGCTTCTGGGTTAAACCAAGAGCACCGGAGGTGTAGAACAGGAGTCTCGGACGTGGATGAAAGCTTTAGAGACGGTGGTTTAGAGTTTCAAAACTGAAACTCAAGGCAAGTCTCTGTTCTATTCCTTCCCTTTAATTCATGTTATGTGCATGCCTAGTTAGACTCCAGGGATTAATCAAGTATTAAAATAGATTAAATTGAAGTTAATATTAATCTTGTAAGCATGTTTGAATCAACTTTTAAATCGTTGCATAAATCTGTTTTTGTGTTGAAAGTTATTCTCACTTAAGAATCTGTTTGCATTGGTTTTAATCTTGCTCAACCTTGGTATATTTGGGATTGGATGCATAATTATAATTAATTCTAGGACATCAATTGAACCCTAAAATAAGTTATAAAAACTGTTCAGTGACTCTGAACTTTGCCGGAGGCAAAGAAGATGAATAAGTTAAGGGATACGGCTCTTAAAGGAGGAGAGCCGGCTCACCAAAAGAGGGAGCCGGCTTTAGGGCTTGGAGAGACGGCTCTACAAGGGGTAGAACCGGCTCCACATGAGGTGGAGGTGGCTCCACCAAGGGGAGAGCCGGCTCCTTTGTTTTAGGAGGCGGCTTTACCCTATTTTTCTTGATTTTTCGTGTTCTGGGTTTGGGTTGGACAGTAGGGGTTGGTTTAAAAGGTTCCAGTGGCTGTGAGTGGGAAAGCATGTTGAATTTATTATGTCGAAGCATGCAATTATATAAGGTTCAACAATAAACCTGTTTGTGGAACATTGGATGAAGGAATTGAAACTGGATTACTGTTCTTACTATTTTTCCAAAAAATTTGGATACTTTGCATAATTTAAAATCATTAAACATGTCTCAGCTGTGTTATAAGCATATAGTTATTTATCTGGAAAAATAAGCATGGTTAGTTGGAATTAATTGATGGTTACGTCTACTGATTATTGCATCAATTGTGGTACTGTTTGGAGGAGTTAAATGTGCAGTCTTATTTCATTTATATAAAGAACTGGAATGTGATTTCTAAATCTTATACTGAATGCATTGATTGGCCATATACATGTTGGACTATATTTATGCTAATTCTGGAGTATGGTTGATAAATATCTATTACTATTTTGTCAACTTTGTTAACTGGAGGATTATATGTACCGGTATGGGACGGTGACATACTAGGTATGGACTAGTTCAAACACTAAGTCTTACCTAATTTGGATTAAGGTACAAATTAACCATATAGGTTAAGACCATCACCTACTTGTGTCATGTCAACAAAATAGTTGAATGACTTAATGTGGTTTTAGGATGGATGATTATACATATATCATACCACTACATAGATGGATGGTATTTTGTATTTGGAGGAGTACGGACTTTATATATTTATTATATGGTGTCATGGTATGAGCTTGAGTCTCAGGACCATAGTTAGGGCGCGTATATCGCCTAGGATAGATAACTGGACATAATAAACTTGAGTCTCAGGACCATGATGTTCCCTGGTAGGTCTAGGTACACATGACCACATTATGTGCGATTTGCATGGTATCTCTACTTAGGCTGAGACAGACCTATTGCACT